AAAATAGTTGTTACGCACTGCACTGAATGCTGTAATGCAGTAATGTCTTCACATTTCTGTCAGGGCTCCAATGCATTCTTACATACATACATACATACATACATACACATACATACATACATACATACATACACACACACACACACACACACCTCTTGCGGAGGTCACTGATTCAGAAAACGTCGGAATTCGACAGAGACATCCTATGGAGAGAGATGTGATTGTCGTAGCTGTAAGGGTTTCCGGAAACTACCATTACGATAAATTGTAGACTATAGTAGTTAGGTTTTATCTTCAGAGATAAATTTCCTGCGCTTGTCCGCTCGCCTAAGATAGGCACATCGTCGAAACTGACAAAAGTATTTGTGCCTCGAATACGAAAATGGTAACACGCAAACTGCGGTGTTGCTTTTGGGCAGCGTTAGTTTTTAAATATGCTACAAAAAACACTTTTTGGGAGAGTGGAACCGATTAATTCAATAAAAATTCAAATGGCTTTTAAAATTATCTATTTGAGAGCAAATCGTATGGTAGTATTCACCATGGCAACGTAGAGTCGTAAATAATCTGTCGCACTCCTGAGAAAACGTATTACGTATATCAAGCGAATGTTTTATAGAGAGATAGAATTTACTTGTTTCAACGAAATTGAATATTTCATATAATTTCGGCGACTAATTACTTCAAAATTTTCATTCGACAAGTTCTAACAAAAGTGTGAGCACATTTGGTTCTCGTGTTCACGACACTGCAAATCATCCCAACACGTTTTGCCGTGGTATCATGCGCGATATTTTTGCTGGTTTCTACTCTGCTTTACATTTCATGACGAATAGATTGCTCGGATGGAATGCAAATATCTACTGAAGGTTTTCCATGTAATAACTGGAATTCCGGTTGTTAAGATCCTGTTTGCAATTCACAGCGCAACTGTGACTTGTACTGCACGAAATGTTGCAAAATATGGAAGACTATTATTCTCGTCCTTGAAAGGCCAGGGATGGTGTGTGTGTGTGGAAATGTTGCGGCGTATTCTGTAAGCAGTTGGCTACGTTTCTCGACGAGGTATTCGCATTTGTCGGTCCTCTCTTTTTAAATGAAGCCGTCAATCACATTGATCGATCCATTTTGTTTTGTGACTGCATTTTGCAATAAGGGTAGTATGGCATACCATGCATCAACCCTACCAGTGGTTTTTGCAGTCTTCGAGTACCAAGGGAGTGAGTAAATTACTCCATGAATAGTTTAACAATAATATGGAGAGGTGAAAGTTACATTTCACAATTAAAAATATATTTTCACTAAATATCGAGTTTGTGTAGATTTTTGCCTCGCGTCAGGTTTACCTCGTGGTCAGTGCGCCCCAAGCAACGTGGTACCCAACATGGCTTTTAAATTTGTATGCCTTTTTGTGTAAATACTTCTTTGTACTTGTGGAAGATAACTTCTTTTTACCCGTCCTTGTGGTTTTTTCCACAAGATTTCTGCGATAACCACCGAGTTTAGTATTAATGTTTTTAGTAACATTAATCTGAGTTACTGATTCATTTATGGTTTATTTTATAATTAAAGATACCAATGTATAACTTTGAAGGCAATCCACAACCACAAACTCACCAACTTCTCCTGTTCACATAAGCACCAAAACATCATAACACAATTATCAAGGAAGATATAAATGCAATCCTTAATAAAACTACAGACTAAAACTCAGAACTCAACTCAAACTAAAGTTTGGCCAATAAAATATTTGAACTACTTAATAAAGAAACGTCTATAAACGACATTGAAATTGTAAAGTATTAGAAAACAATAAAAATCATAAAATTTTCATTACGTAACTTAGTTGGTACTCGACGCTTACTTTCCATAAAAATGTCCTATTCCATAAGCCCTCCACTTCCAACTAGGGAAGCAATTATCTAAAAGAGAACGAATCTACAAAAAGCCCTCAGAAGCTTCGTCTCTCCATTAACTTCGCAAATTGTACTACCTTAAACAAACTTAACCAGCACTATTAAAGTTTTTCAATAACAGTTGTGCTATTCCTTTGTATTAATGCAAACTCTAACTCCATCACAAAAATACTGTACACTACAATGGAGTGCGTTTAAAAAAAATTACAAACTCGTTTTATTTGAGACATCATTTAAGTAATTGGTAAAATGGGGGATGTTTGAGAGGACTCTATAACGTGCGTATATAGAAGTTGGTGATTTGTTAAAAAATGTGAGTGATTTGAAATCTTTAAAAATCCTTTAAGTAATGGAGTGACCTCCATCCGTCCGGGTGTCTGGCCGTCACGGTTAGACCCCTTCCGGTCGACCAATCGAGGCAAATGAAGTGTCATTCTCCAAGGATGGAACTGATCATTTGTCGTGGATCTATCTATAAATCTCTAAGAAAATGTATCTAAAAATGTGTTTTGAGTGCTTTTTAGGAAACCACGGTGCGTTTTGCCTGATTTACAGCTCCTACAGAGGTGGTTCGAATCCCCTCCGCTGTAAATTACTACACGCTCTTTTCGACGTTTACATCAATATTTACGGACTCGATTGACCGTCCGACTTGATTGATTATATTGGTGATAATAAAACCTAATGTTGCAATGAAACAAAAATTTAAATATATATTTTAAACGATTTTTCACTTAACTTACTATGTCCAGAAATGAACAAACCACGTAACTGTAATATGTATTAAAGTAATTTTTATTATCAACTTGCAAGTCACAAATAGAACGTTTTAATATAAAAATGCCTGCCAGAGACGTCTCGCAAAGCTAATAATAAGTAATTTATAGATTGGTAAATCTTTTTATCCAAATGTTTGTATTTCATGGCCTAAATTTCATTCAGATCATAACAACATAAGGAAAATAGTCCAAAACAGCCAACTTTCTTTCTGTCTTTAAACATCGTTACTTGTTAGTAGAACCACACATTTTCTGGAATCTTTCTATTCCTTTTATTATAAAAATGACTGCAAACGTATACTTTTGGGTATTTGTATGTTCTCCAAAATGTACTGAACCGTTATAGCGATTCTCCCCAAATTTTGCATCAATACTTTTGAGCCGCCGAGAAAAATCACTGAGAAGTTTGCGATTTAAATATTTACTAAAGATGATGTATTTCTCCACATTTTAAAAAATGTAGGTGGGTGTTGGTAAAAATGTAGGTAACTGTTGGTTGGTGTTGTGGGAGTAGTGCCGGGAGGGCAGAGAACGCTAGGCTGTTGAATAGAAAATTGTGTTGTATGATGTTGTAGAAATCATGAATTGAGTTAAAGATATCATCTATTGTGTTGAATACATATTTACATATGCTTGTACCCGTGTAACGCCGGGTACAAGTATCCTGAATGCCCCAAACTCATTCAACCATTCGTATATAATAATATTAATCACATGAATTTAGGCATCACAAAATCTAGTGTGATAAGTAAGGAAATGAGACGAATCAGGGATAAATTTTACAGGAAGAAAGATATCTTATGACATATTATTAAATTAGTTTTAATAATGGATAATTATTAAGGTTCAGAAGGATATTCTAGTGAGATTTTTCATTCTTTTTCTCATATAAAACTTAAAAAGATTATTTGTGTGCCAGTAGATCAGTACAACAATAACTGCCGTTTGTGGTTCGGTTGGTTTAGAACTGCCAACATTTCTTTTCGAACACTAGCTATCGCGTGGTATGGACTCAATGAGAAATGGAGTTTTTGAGACCCGATATATCAGTCGCCTCCATATATTCATGTAGTGGGGGGTATTTACTTTCTTGCAATGATTTTGCCTAGTCTATTGCAGACTTGTTTAAAGGAATTAGGGTAAATGGGTACTCCGCTTTAGCGTGATAGTCTTTTAATGCAGCACCACGTAAAATAAGGCAAATTCAATTCAATTCAATTCGCCTCTTACATTTTCGATTTCTGCATGCATTGCACGAAAAGAAAATGAATAACGGCATAGGAGGAGGCAATCGCGTGACGATCTTGTCTCAATATCTGAGAAATTAAGAGCCGCCAAAGTACTTTCTGTTATCTCCAGTCTAACTAAATGTAAATGGATCTTGTTTTTTCGATTTTATGGAGTAATAAGACTCCGATTCATCAACTTTCCCAGAATGCCTTGTATGCTTTCTTTACTATTTTTACCCACGTATACTGTTATAATTAAAAGAGTAACAAGGAAAATCTTGGAACTGAAAGACCATTCCGATCTATCATCGTGGCAAGTAGGGTAAAAGAAATAATAAGCAATGCATTATCGTGATATAAAATGTCATCTTACAACTACGAAGTAATGTCACAGTTCATTCACATTGGGCTACATAATAATGCGTGGCCCCACGCCGGCACGTGCGGGGTAGGTTAGTCCACTGAAGAACGCAGGGGGCGGCGGGCGGGGGCGGGGCGGGGCGACGATTGGCGTGAAGGCTCTCCGTCCCGCGCAGGGTGCGTGTCCTTGACGGCGCCGCGCCGCCCGCAGGGTCGGACTTCCAACGTGGAGCGTGGTGACGCGCGACCACGAGCCAGGACTGCTGAGCTTGGAGTGGTCGGTGCACGCCGACGTCCTCTCGGTCCGGCAGCGGCGTCGCCCTTCGCCGCCCGCGGGCGGCGGCGGGGGGGGGGCGGCCCGCTGGCCGCGCTGGCCCGCGCGGGGACCCGGGCGGCCGCGCACCGCCGCGCCGCGCGCGCCCCGCCTGCGCCGCCCGTGCCGCCCGACGTGGTGGCGCGCCTCATGGCCGCCGTCAGCTTCGGCTACGGCGTCTTCCAGCTGTGCGCGTCGCTGCTGCCGCCGTCGCTGCTGCGCCTCATCAGCTTCCTGGGCTTCGAGGGCGACCGCCAGCTCGGCCTGGCCGCGCTCATGTTCGCGCGCCAAGGTCGCGACATGCGCGCGCCGCTCGCCTCGTGAGTACGCACCGGCCACCCGCCGCGCGTCCTTGGCCGTGGCCTTGACCCGCTCTCCGCTGCCCGCGCACGGCGCATGCTTACCCCGGCCCGCGGCACGCGCACCGCAAGCCAGCCCAGGGAGTTCCCAACTTGACGCGCCTCTTGCTATCTTGGGCGCGCATCCATGCACTACACCTATGCAATCCCGAGTGCTGAAATGCTTTTAGCTCAATCCACTGACTAGCGCTTATTCTGTGAATATTGTGCGCTTATTTCTGCAATAAACTGTTTAAAATACTGTTTACGTATTCACATCCTGCTTGATTCATTTTTTGGCGCAAAGGTTGCTTTTTATCCCATCACAAAACAAATACATATAAAAAGAGAATTGCGAGTCAACTTGCAAATGAAAACTTGACAATATACTGCCGATGTGACATTATAAATTACCAAATCACCAAATATTATTTTACTCATTTTTCCATAGATAGAAGAGAGGAAGCAATAAAAGAAAATGTAAATACAACTTCGCGGACGACAAATTATGTTTATATTCTTGTCTAAAAATATTTTTTTTAAAACATATCAATGAGAGGTACTTACTTCTATGAAATTATGGAATAGAACAAATAAACATACAGACCTATTTATAAAATTAAAGGGTATAAATACTTAAAAATAGACATGCCAAATATTATAATGAAGAATATACTGGTGCTCTTGCGGGTTAATTAATATACAGCGAACTGATATTTTCAAAATGTATTGAGAGAATCTGATTAATTTACATAATACATAATTCAGTTATTATAAAATACTTATCCGTGAAAAGTATAACAAATTTCTATAACGTGGTAGACATTGATCTGTTTCAATGAAGACTGGCATCGACTAGTGTACTATCCACAAATTATTGTGTATATGTAAGAGAGAGAATATGGTACCTTCACATTTACAGCATTATATCTACAAAAACGTTTACAAATGTATCGAAACCTGTTTCTAGATCTCTTCTTCTCAGACTTGACATCAGAGAAACCATATTTTATATTACAACTTAATGTGTCAATAACTCTCGTTGCTACATTTATTGATAATTGAACTCAACAAAAGAGAGAGGGCAGGAAGCCCACAGCAGAATTTACCCTCCTCCCCCCTACGCCAAGAACATTTTTTATGACGAATATATAAATAGGATATTATTTTGTTTTACAGTATACTAAATTATCGTTGATAAAATAATATGCTATAAGTAGTCGTTTGAATTACTGATTCCATTTCGGAGGTAAGACAACCTGACGATAGTAATATTATTCCACAGCAAGATAACTGGCATTTGTAATTTGCTGTTTATCCAAACACTTATTATGGGCAAATACGTTTGTTATTCGGTAATGGTAATGAAATATTAGTTTGATATGCTATTACAAACCTACTGGTTTTATATTTTGCGAGTTAAAAATGCCCGTGAGTTTTGATTCGACATCGGCATGCAACCCACAATACCTAGCGCGCTGAGCCATATATTACTCATATTTTGTCTCGTGCGAGATATTAAACATTTAAAAAATTGAAATGCAATATCTATGATGAAAATTCCGCCCGAAATCATTCTATCAATTGTTTTGAAAAAGGAACGTACTTATTTGTACAGGTCACTTGTAGACGCTTGTTTCTCATGACGTTGGCAGTTTAATTTTTCAATTTTCCTCTCCAGTAATCATCATTCCATATTTGCTGGAGATGGTTTCAAGCAAATCAGTTAAACGAGTCAGTTTTTTCTCGAGAAATCCTAATTAAATCATAGGTGATGCGTATTTAATATTTCAACGCCTACCAATAATTGTGTTACTCGGAGTCCAGCATAACGGTTGAAATCGTGAGCATATTTTGTACTTCCCCTCACTATTTCATAGAATTTCAACCTGATCATCAGTTGCCATTGCTATTTCGTCATCCTGGGGATTCTTGCCGAAATGCAAACACAGGACCACGTATTCAGGTGACAGAAACGCGGACGTCAGGACGATGAAGAGGGCCCAGAGGGAGAAGGCGCGGGCATTTGAGAACTCACAAAATGTAATGGAGTTACAAGATTTTCCTTCTTGTTCTCTATAAAATTTGTTCTTCTTTTTTCAAAATAAGTGTAATAAAAGCTTCATTCAGATACGTGAAACGTTCCAATATGTAACCTTAGAAAAACTATCAAAATATTATTATTAATATTCTCCAAGTATTTTATCAGTCGGGAAAAAAATATTTGAAATGCGAACCATTTGAAATTTATGAAATGTGGATGTATATGTGTGTGTGTATGTTTTTGTGTATTTATGTAAGTATGCATTATGTATGCATGTATTACGTACGTGGTATGTGTGTGTTTGAGAGAGAGGTTTGTTCGAGGAAAGAGAGAGGGGTACACTAGGTTACACCACGTCGCCGAAGGATGGATCAAATTTGTATAAACCAGGCGCATCAACTTTGTTTAAAGTGCGGAGTAGAAAATTATGTACTCAAAAAGAAAATGACAAAATTGCCGCATGTTCTCTAAAAATTGTAGAGAATATTGAATATTCACAGAAAGTAAAATAAAATATTATTTACGGTTACTGGCTGTATGTAATACGTAAACAAGAAAAATATTTCAATATACATTTATTTGTCATAGCGAGAGTGTGTTTGAAATAAAACAAACACATTTTTCACGCCTTTTTCATTCAAGGCTTTTCTGCAACACTGTCGTTACACATACTAACAGAGCATAAATATGGATTATATCGATAATATCGCTTTTTAACATTTAGACTGAGAAATGAGAAGGATAGCAAAATTTGACTCTCTTTTGTATAAAATGTTTTAAGTACATACCAAAATATTATCTAACTGTTACACATTACCGGAAATCATTAACATGGAAAATTGAAGTTTCACAGAATTTACATTCAACTCCTTTATAATTTACATTTTTGAAATAAGACTACGTGTAAATATTTCAGTATTCGAGAAATGTATGATTCCTTCTATACAGCCTGTTTTCAACTTCATTAAAACGTTCAAACGAACTTTATTTGCAATTCATATTTTCAATAAAATTGATATCTTCCTTTGACGTTACGTCGGAAGTCAGCACTTGTGAATAAACATATGAAACTGGAAGTGGATTTATTCATTTTCCAACATTTTACTACTGATGATGTAATGTCCAATATTCGAAAATAATATTCAGGTAAATACCCTCTATTCTCACAACTATGTGGGTCTTCGAAGTGGCCCCTTTACCGCGAAACCGAATTAGCGTAGCGCAATTCTCGCAACGATCGGCTGACGATGCACGTTGATTAACCTCCACGTAGTTCCAGGAAATCACGCCAGATGACGCACGCGTCCCCCTCCGCTGTGGCGCGGGTCGATACGCGAGGAATCATCCCCGCGGATGTTCGAGTACTGCAGGCACGCGTATTAAAAAGCTGCACGGTGAACATTTGTTAAGCTATCTTATTTACCAGCAGGATTTCAGATTATAAATTAATTGTTATAAAATACACACTGTGCTGTTGCCCTTAATAAAGACCTTGGTTTTGCAGGACTTTCATGGTGTAAAAAATATCTCTATTGATTTTGATTATTGGTATGAAATTATTTGAGCAATGTGCTCAAAACTTGTGAATTATTAGTTGCAAATAAAAACTTTCGATTTGCAAATAGTTAGGTAATAGTTAGAAAGTAAATAGTTAACCTTTGTATAATGAATAGTAATCATGCAATCTACGAGTGTAAAGTATATTTAGAAGACTGGACAGTTATTTGTAAGTCGGCAAACATCAGTAACATAGAGTCCCTTGTGAACCAATGTATTATATGCTTTTAGTAAAGTAGCCCCTAATTATCATATCTTAATACGAATATTTGAAGGGCAACGGGTTATGTGAATTGATTTCCATGGAAAGGAAATACTCGTAATACTACCATCCATGGATATTAAAGCAGGTATTACTTAACGTCATTAATCTTGTCAATATGGTCTTTGAATCGTACATTTTTAATTTTCTAGTTTTTTTTTGACGAAGTTGATTAACATACATTAAAGAATTCAATTAATTCAAAACGGAACATCATATTTCTGAAGCGTTGAGATTGTCGTAGTAAATGTTATTTTTAAAATAAAATAACATGGACTTCTCCTGCATGTTTCATTTATTCACTAGTTGGTCGTGTTCACTCGTTGGTGATTTGAGAAACTTCACCTCTGTCCGATTAGTATGAGTAGTTTTCGCAGATACCAATTTCAGTCATGAAACTTCACGTCTCCCTTTACTAAACCATTATGTATTTCTAATCTAATGATTGTCTTCGTTGCTCGGCAGAAGGCTGTCGAGGGATCGCAGTAAAACAGCCAATGTTTCATATCACTTTAAAGGATCAATAAGGTATCCTTTGACACCACCGACTCGATTTAAAATTATGAAAACTATTTTAACAGTGAAAATCGTTTACCATATATTTTATTTTAACCATTAAAGCTCAAAAATATATAGTTTTGAAATGGGAACCATACGAAATTTATGAGAAAAGTGTGTTCGTGTGTGTGTGTGTGTATGTGTGTGTGTGTACTGTCAAACGTAGAGTGTTACATGATACAGAAATTACATTATTAAAGCTCTGGTTTTCGGAGATAGTTGAAGATGAGTTAAAAAAAATAATTTAATAAAAATTATAATCAATTATAATAATAATAAATTAAATTAAAATCAATTTATATAAAATTATAGTAAAGTAATTATTAAAATTAAAATTTGTACGTCTCAACGTACTATAAAAGTTTGGAAGGATTCATAAAAATCTCTTTGAAAGTTAGGAACCTAAAACTCAGTCTTGGTTGCAGAAATGTATATTGTGGCTTCAGAGAGAACGAGATAAATGCGAAAATATCTCAACAAGGGCTGATAAGTTGAGACAGGGAGGGATAAGGGAAACACGGCAAAATTGAAAGCGATAAAGCACTTGATATGGCCAGATAAGTACCACAACTGCGGTGAGAAATCGCCCTGAAATAAACGAAGTCCTATAAAGCCCTCATGAAAATCTTAGCGTTCACAAATAATTTTAACTGCTCACTGATTTACGAACGTTTTTGTAATATTTTACCAAAACTTTGTCATTTTGTATCAGCTGATAAAATGGTTTTTCGTTACGTGAAATTTTATACTTCGTTATTTAGAATTACCGAATTAATGCATTGATTGTGACGTGATGCAGTGTGATGTAAGTTAATGGATCTGGCCAAACCACGTTAAATTTCTACAGTTAAACACTAACCAAGTTACTGTTTTTCACATCGTGCTGAGCATTATCAAGAAGCGACGAATTGAATCAGATATTTCCGTGCGTTTGATTTTTTGTACATTTAATAGGAAAACCATATTCTAATAAAAACGCGCCTGTTATAACTGTTAAAAATACCAAAAAATCAAACTCGCGTATCTAAAGAAACATCATTTTTCATACATGAAAGCCAATTAACTTTCTATATTTCCTTTGGCGACTGAAGACTTCTTTAGAGATTTGGACAACAGTGGGTCTCTTTGATCTAATAATGTGTTTAAATCAGATCTATTTATATAAATCAACGGCAACTATAGAATTGATATAGCAAAAATTATTGAGCGTCTTTTTGAAAATGACCTTCTACCCTTTTTTATTGTCGTTTTCCTCTGAAATCATTTAATTTCGCACATATTTATCAGTCCCTACAACTAGGTGTGCCAAATTCCCTATTCCCATGCAAGAAGTAGAAAATGATGTCACAGATCAACTTATTGCCACTATATGTAAATCTGGCAGGCCAAAGAATTGTACTTCGAAATGTTTCCAAATTTCAGATAAAAGGTTAATGGGGGTTTCAGACTTTTCTAAAGGTGGAAATAAATCCAAGGGATATTGGCGGTCTAATGAAGACGAACGGGAGGAAGGGAGATATACAAATCTTACTTTCTAAGCAATTTGCTAATGATTTAGGTAAGCTGGAAGAACGTACCAGGTGTTTAAGAATATAATTGCAGGACAGAACGCAGGCCACAAGACTAAGTAGAGGAAGCGCGTGACTACACCGAATAAGAATGCGGAGAAATTGGAAGTTAAGGGATAATTCTGTTTTGAGCAAAAGTTAGAATTATTTTTGTATTAACTTATTATTTTTTGTAAGTTTACCAGGCATATTCAATTCCGCATTAAAACACTATTTCCTCAGAGTTTGAAACATTACATATTTCCTCTTATCCAAGTTCAGAATCTTATTTCTCGTTTTATTTCATCAATCTCAAAAAATAAATAAACCCATACCCATTTGCTCGTGCAATATTTCTAAATATATTGATTTTAAAAAAAATAACTTAACTATATCGTTTTCCCTGCTATACGTTTTCATAGTTACATATATTTTATTATAAATTGTCCCAATGAAATTAAAGTACTGGTTGGCACTAGTAACATATCATTATTTCTTCAGACATTCTCATTTTAAAAGTCACGTTCAAAGTCAAGTCATGCTGTTTTATACTGCCTGATCCCCAATTCACTCATAATTCATACATTTATTCACTGTCGAAAACTAGTGTTACATACTGATTGTTCTATTTTACGTCAGCTAATTATTTATCGCCTTTGCAATTGATGAAAGGTATAGTGGCCTAGTAGTTAAATTAAGCTGCCGGAGTAGATGCGCCTGAGAGACCAGTTCCTTTTAATCTCTCGCTAATAGATCACAGTTCTATCTCGTGAACAAGTTCAAAGGAAATCAAAGGGTTTTCAAAGATTGTTTACTTTCTGTTTCGGCTGCTCTCTAGTGGAGCGAAGCAGGGCATCCATGCGCAGTGTGCTTGCGGATACGAACAAAGGTCAAGGGCACACTCTGCATCTGCTGTCGACAAACGTCCATCTTTCATTTTCACCATCGAAGAAATCGACAGGTTGAAATTCTAATAGAACACCGTTTTATCACCGGGAGAGGTGGCTCAGGGATTCAACTGATGTCACTGCAGTGCCTCTGACTGAGAGGTCCTAGGCTCGAGTCCCGACGGTGGCGGGATTTTCGACAATCGCTACATTCGAGTTCAGTCGCCGTCTGGAGGAGAATTCTAGCGGCCAGCTGCTCTGATCGGTAGTTTTCTAAGGTTTCTCCGATCAACACCAAACGAATGCCGGAGCAGTACCCTAACAGGACACGGACCGCGCGCGATATTTCCTTCCCCTTGTTCTCTCCTCAGCACTTACTTACACTCACTTACATTAACATGCAGTATACTACCACACATGACGAGAGACCGATCGGGTCGTCCCAGCTGGGGCGGTGCTTCGCTGGTGGGAGATACCTGGTTTAGGAAAAGCCCGTTAGCTACAGGTAGGTCGACCCCGGATCTCAGCATTCAGAGGGAAAGATCACCGTTACCTCCCGAGGGAAAACATGCACAACACTTACGGGAGTAATGACCTTGGCTGTTGACGCGCCCGTAAGCACTAATCAATCAGTCAGACCTTTTTATCTATAAAATGTTGACGAACATTACATATTTTCGAAATAATCGTTTTACAAATAACTCAGAATCAACAAATTCGTATCTAATGACATATGAGATAACTTGACGATTTATTTACTGAAGTAATATGGAAGTACGGACTTCAGGGAAAGTTTGATGTAAATACAATCAGTTTCTGACTTTACCGCTCCTTAATTCACTAATTCGAAAGTTACGTTTTCTGAACACATTACAGAAATCCATAAATACAACAACTACAAATTACATATTATGGCTATAATATAAAAACTAAAAACTACATGTAATAGCTAAATGAACCTTTTTTTTATCGCCTCTGACATTTTAGGATACTTGAGCTCTTCGCTGTGAAAGACAGCGGCGAGAAACAATTAGCTGAAGTAAATATAGAATAAATAACATGTTATCAAGTTATCGCACGTTTAGACAGTGAATAAATTAGGGTTATTTCTATTTAAATGTCCCTCTTTTCAGTCACTAGTGTTTTAATATCGCTTTGATCAGATGAGAGTGAGACTATTGGTAGGTATAGTCACTTTCAAAATATCTATTATTTTGACATCTTTCTGTTGAATACCCCGGAGTCTGAAACACGCAGAACTCTTCACGAAACGCGTTTCAAAATTTTGAGTTTCCCAGAATCGCTTTTCCTTTTACATGTTATAGGACGTTCATTCTCCAACACTGCACTTTAAGTATATTGTACCACGTCAGAAATTGTTTAAGACATCTCGACCCTGTGTGTAAAAGTTTATTCAATGAATCCTCTCTTATTATATTTTCAAAAGATCTGTTTAAGTTTTATAAGAATCTATTGTAATATTTTATTGAATGGAACCTACTAAAAGATATTACAATGATTCTTTCAACAATTCCTTTGTATTATAAAGCATGGATCATTTTTACTGGAAAATGATGATAGACCTAAAATGCTCAGATCATTATAATGGTCATTTGTACCAATCATTTACTTATTTTTCTTTGATATGGCTGTGCACTCAAATGCCAATAAAGAGGATAATGAGGTGCAAAATAGAAAAGTGCAAATTTTACGTATGTTGTGCAATCATGACTAGTGCTAATTCCCAGAAGTGAAAGTTCCTCTTAATTATTTTTTATTGCTTTCTCCTTTCGTTTCTTTTCCCCGGACAAACTCTTGAACTCTAGCAGTTCTTCTCATGGCCTTTGTGCGCGAAACGAGAATTCACAGCAACAGCCAGTCGAAGGCGGCCGAAGTGAAAGGCAAACTCGCGCCGAAGCAACGCGGCGCGGCGCCGACGGTCCCGTAATCTCCCCCCGGCAGCAGCGCCGGAGAGTTGGCAACCCCTATTCGGCCGCGCGCGCTCCGCCGCGCCGCTCCGCGCCGGCAGGCAACCCCCACAGGGCGGGCAGGGAAGAGAAGGGCAACCAGGCCCTTCCCCTCGCCCGACCGGCCGGCCGGCCGGCCGACGCGGCGCTCGCCCCACGTGCCAAGAGGGACGCGGGCTCCACGAGGGAGGCAAAGCGCAGGGGCGGAGCGGCGCGGCGCGGCGCGGCGTGGCTCGCCTCGGCTCGGCTCTCAACGGCCGGTGGCGCTGCCAAGCGGGGCTTCATGCGAATTACCACCGCTCGTTCGAAAATAAATTCTTTCAAAAATTGCTTACGCAAATTTACTTGTATTCAATGCAAGTGTGCACTTTCTATCCTTGTTTATTCACATCGTATTGCTATTCTTGTGTTTTCACATTTTTTTAACACATGCAAAGCATTGGAGAGTTTGCGAGAGTAAATTTTAGAAGAGTACTCATTGCTTATACCGACGTGTCTACTACACCAACTTTTATCCTCTAATAATGAATTAATTAAGATAGTGGCCTGCAGCAGCAAAAACGCTGTTGAACAAAACCACACAAAATGGTTTTCAGAGAAGTAGCCCGCACTCTGTTCAAGAACAACAATATGAATCATTTATTTCAGAAACCCGTTAAACACCAAATTTGTCATTCCGAGAAAACTGAGAAAAAGTCTCCCAAATTATCTGATTTCAAAACATTTGTATATTTTAAAGCAATTGATAAATTAATGTTTCATATAAATATGTAACAAACTATGGAGCAATAATACACTCCTAATGCGTCAATTTGATTTTGGCGTTTGACGGGTTTCTTACATAAACGATTCAATTCTCATAAAACAACGCAAAAAATAAATATTTTAACCAAAACAACCTTCACGAATACTGCAATAATGTAGTATCTATAGTAATTAGATAATACTAGAGTTCTTGTCCGTAACATCAAAATAGCAAATATTTAGATGCGAGTATTTCGTTTTAACTGCGAGTAACTACTCGTGTAATTGTGAAACACTAAATTAAAGCTATTTTGAGTTTTTTTGACGAAGTTGTTGAGACTTAATTCATACTAATTGTCGCGAATTTTCGCGACAAAGTGCTTATAAATTGAAATTGGCGCATTTTCACGATAAATGCGAAATTCTCTCGAACTACTAATATACAGCGAAATTAATAAGAAATAGTTTACCCTTTATCGCTATATAAAGCAAAAAACAATTTTTTACGATAAATTGAAAAAACGTAACGCAAAAAAGTCACCCTTCTACAAATATTTAATGACGGACGGCATCTTCCTTGGAGCCTTAATGTCGCATGATGTCAGACGTGTCGTAAGCAGTAACACTCTGAGCACGTGAATTCACGTGAAGTTTAAGAACAGGTGGAATAGCACATTCAAAGTAAGTACTTTTCAGTCAAAATCGAAACTGTTTCATGGTTTGAGGATTTCTTCCCTAGTGTTTGAGTAACGAAACCGTACGTACCTCTCAAAAGGCCGAAGGCTGCAGAGTTTGCTTTAAATTGCTGCACGCATTGGAACTTGGTTACAGGGACTAGTTGGAACGGCAAGATTAGATTCATTCCATGCCCATACACGAAATGTGTTAAGATTCACTCTTTACTCTATGCTGGAACCCTATTTAAAACTGCCAGTCCTTTAATTCTGCGTTACATGATGAAGGCCCGTGGATAAACATTCTAATATTGCGAAACGTTAATTAACAAATGGAAAGATTTGGACCCCTGCGATTAAATTGCAGAAAATATGTAGTCAATTTAGTTTCAGTTGAATACATACAAGTATAAGAACTTGTCTCACATATTAAAGTGAAGATGAATTCTGGTGAATTTAAAAACTAATTATCGAATGTATTCGTGCAATGAATGATATTTATTGATATGGTACATGGTAGTTCACAAGTTTCGTAGTTAACATAGCAGATTATTCTCTCGTCGCCGAGAAAAGCCTGTCTTTTTCACACATGCTGTAACTCAGTTTCCTCAAAATTCTATTCATAAGACTAATGCCGTCTACCAACTTCGGATACCAACGAGAAACATGGGGAAGTAAAAATCTGAATTGTAAATTTTATTCAGTCCGCGTTAATTAAAAAATGTTGGCGGTTGAAAATTGCATTTCAATTGTTTGAATGTTGATTTTTTCCTGAATATATGCAGGTTTTCGTCTCCCAGTGTTTCGTATTATAGTAGAATATAATCATAAATTTTTATCATTAATTTTTCATTTTACTTTTTTTCTTTTTTACTGTAAATTGTGGAATGAAGATGAATGATTTCTTCTATTCACATTCAAATGTTTCTTATAGTTACCCAAAATTATGACACTGACGTGTAAGATTACGCTGAATGACTTTCATCGTTTTCATTAATTATCCTCTTCTTTTTGTTATTAACTTTTGGATTTGGATTGAATAAGTGAGTGAATATGGGCGCGACAAGAAATTACTCACTTAAGTGTAATAGATGAAATGTATCGGGAGGGGTCGGAGTTCTATGTCCGTTGAAATGTGAGATACGGCATCTAAATGCCGGCCTGCGGGTTTTGCCCTCTCCAGGTATCTCCCACAACGGGGCATCATTGCAGCCGTATATTTTTGCGAGGTATCGTTCAGACAGATAAGTACCTAGAGTTGAATTTGAGCCACCTAATGGTCATGTCTCAAACCCTACGATGTCCTGTTCAACGGTGCTGCAGAGAAAGCGATGGCTATCGCTGCTGGTTTTCTAGCGGAATCAACGCACGTGATTTCCCGACGACCACAAACATGAACCGCGAATGACGGCTAATGACATCTGGTCTATTTACGTTTTGCCAGGCAAGCGAGGCCGTTCAGTCGTCACAATTATTATTCGATTAATTACCATTCAACCCAATCTAATGACGCTGGAGCCATTCAATTGTAACAGTGACACGCCTGTTTTATATTTCGCTCGATTAAAACTTACTCTAAAGAAAACACGCAAATGTTTATTTTTCGGGGATGCTGAGAGAATAACACGTCATACACATTGCGTCATCTCAACATCTTATAATAACAACATCCTAAGCGCGAAAACTGAAACGGTCAGTCGACCGACTGTGGAAATAAATGGGTTTAAAAAACAAAGCGCGCCCGGTGTGTTTGAAGGGGGCGTACCCTCGTCTCTCCGAGTCGTATCTGTCTTTCCGGAGGGTGCTTCGTGTGTTGATCCGACAGGGGCGCGGGGTGCTGGTGTTCAGTGGGCCGAAATCGCCCCGAAAGGCTGCGATCAAGAAAAAGTCAGAAGTTCGAATGCCAGAGGAATTATTTTTCATTTATTTACTTTATATTTATTTATGTTTTACTCTTTTCTTATATATTTATTTACAATTTTATTTTAATACGTAGTAGTATTGTTACTCCTTTAAGTAATATTGAAATTTATTTCCGATTTCAGTTACAATAATGGGACGTTAAATCACACAAATGTACTCTTCGTCTGATGATTTGAAATCGCGTCCCTACTACTATAAAAGTATAATAGTAAAAAGTGATTGTGATTAAGACTTCCGTTTTTGTTGTTGATATGGTAAAATTGAAAAAAAAAAACACTATTTATTTATTTTTGCATTAACCATTGTAGAATTCACGACCACGATGTAGAATTAAGAAATGTCGTTCATAAGATTTGGTGAGAGTGAGTAGAGAAATTAAACCATTAGATTGTAGACGTTTCGAAATATTTTTATTCCAATCTCACAGCTTACTAAAGAAGCCGGTTTCTTTGGTGCCTTGGCCGAAGTTGGACGTGGTGCGGGATGGACCCTTGCGCTGCAGTAACTCCAAGTGGAGTTGCTGCTAAGAGACTGTAAATATGCATAATTCTTTAGTAAACTCTGAGGATGGAATAAAAATATTTCGAAACATCGGCAAATTAATGATTTATTTTTTCTACTCCCTCCGACCAAATCCCTTGAACGACATTTCGTATTTTTGTTTTATTTTATTTTTTATTTATTTATTATCATTTTTTTAATTATTTTCCCCTGCCTCCGGCCCAGTGTGCGGCGTGGTGCGGAGCCATAACGGATGCTGGCCGCCGCCGGGGAGCCCCGCGAGCGCGGGCGATATGCGTTGTCAGGGGGCCGAGCGCGGCGGGGAAAAAGGGGTGCGTTCGCGCAGGGGTCCACGCGGCGGAGGAGCAGGGCGCGGGGCCAAAGACGAAGGAAGGAAAGAATTAAAAACAAACAGACTAGTTTTATGAAAATTTATAATAGCTTGCTGATGCCTAATTGGACTAGAACAAAATGTGTTTGAAAGACGATTCGCTGTATAAACTTGTTTTCATATTAGAAGCTTTGTGACGTCCGTTGCTATAATTCCGCAATTTGGCGTTTGGTATTTACTGTCAGTGCGTAAGAAGTTACTCAAAAAGGCTTTCAGTTCAATGGTTTTGCCTAGAACAGTTTCCAAGTGTGTGTGTGTGTGTGTGTGTGTGTGTGTGTGTGTGTGTGTGTGTGTGTGTGTGTGTGTGCGTGCGCGCGCATGTGCGCTTCACTTAGGAAATGCTACGAACTAGGAATACCCGCAGTAATCGTAATGCCGGGGCCGTGCAGTGGAGGAGCGAAGCGGCGCGAGAAAGCACTATCACACTCCATGACGCCCTCTGCAACTCGGTTTATGGGGTGATAAAGTGGCAATGGCTGGTTAACCCGGAGATGGCTGCCTCGACCGTGCCATTAAAGTGTATTGCACAGTTTTCGCTGGATAGCCAGTCCCGAAAGTACATGTCAAAGCAATAATGTTTCCTGGACTTCAACGGGTAAATAGATTCTCATCTACTTCGTAAGAAAATATTGTGAAGTGCATCATTTTCTCAACGAGAGAGTTGCTATGACATAACCCTCGAAAAATATTAAACTTTTTTCATATGAGAAGCGTGACATTCAAATGTTGCTATAATTTAGCAATTGGAAAATTGGAATTTACTGTCACTGCATAAGAATTAATGTCTTGTTAAAATCATAAATGAAATAACAAAAAGGCTCATTCTAACGGAATAACCTTAATTTTCTTTTACTACTTCTGCCATATTTTCTGAAAACTGGATTAAATAGTAAACATTTGCAACAGTTTGTGCTCAATAATGAATGAATCAGTTCAAATGTCAGTAGAAAATAAATTCCATAGTATATTCAAAGTTGTATAATATTCAACATTAATTAACACTATGATCTTGGCTTATCTATCGTTCACAAGTACCATATTACGACATACTGTGTTGACAGAACACAATGAATAATCTATGAATTTTTCTAAGTGCTAATTTTCACGGCCGTCCACAGGCAGTATCATTATTAAAAATGGTATTCTCGACGTTATGAACGACACATGCTCATTGTTCGTTATTGCCTTCTTAAATCTATTCTATGGTAATTTAAGAGAGGAACATTGTTTCATATTTAATATGATTTTTCCGCTCTAAGAATATGCTGTCACAAGCACTTATTTACTCCTTTATAGTTGTTAATTTACTGGATAATTACCAGCGTTTGTCGACGAACATTTTTGTAAACTTATTTTAAAAAAAGTCTTCTTCTAATAAAGACCAATTAATTCCATACTAAATGTGCGTATCTTGAAGCAGTTTGAATAAAATAATAAACATTACGGGAGCCTAGTAATATTTAAGTTTGAATTTTCTTTTGTGGTAAATTTTAGTAACAATCATAACTATTTGTGAAAATTGTTCATGGAAAGAACTCGTAATATTTCTCAGTGTAGATGTGACCTTCAGTTGATAATACTTCCGTGTCCTGCAGCCACTATTTCTTAACTATTCGTGCTCGGGAATTGAAACAAACAGGAGGAAGTACTCGCAGTAAAAGCAATAGTTCTTCGTGAGCCACATGTTGTCTCATTGCAAATCCAGAATGTTTTCCGGTTCAGGTACGGACATGTGCTTCACTGTGTTAACCTAGCAATGCAATAATTTGAAGGCACGTGTTCGCAGTTCAAAGCTTCCTCTCCTCCTTTTGACAACACAACAAACATTTCTTCCGCCTGCAATTAGGTTCACAGTGTCAATGAGGCTAGGCCCTACCGCTAAATAGCTTTTCTCAGACGAACTGTACAATTCGACCAGAAAAAATATTGACCTGGTGTAATGGACAAGGAAAACCACTTGACCATATAACCGATTGGTGTAGTAGCATCGTTGAAGTTTATTCGAAATCTATCTATATGACGAACGTGTTTGACCAAGAATACCGTTGTGGATATTGGTCACTTCCCTAATGGACAAAAAGAGGTGTAATGCAAGATACACGTCTTGAAGGTAAGATAATTGTTTAATGTTGTTCATTTATTATGTAATATCGAATGTTGTGACAGCATTGAAGTTAATAGCTTCTGCTTATGTGTGTGTGTGTGTAACCTTAAAATTTTAGGTTCCGTAAGGGTGCTTCCACAAAAGAAAATTGTATCTGCTGATGCAGCTGTATTCTGTTTTTATTCCTCAATGTAACAAAATATTTTTTAACTCGTCGCGCGCGAAACGCGGTTTCTCGTGCTTGTTTTCCGTGTGCGAAACAGCTCATTTTTCAGTGTGCAAAACATCGTGACGGGTGTGGCAAACTTCTGTAATGATTCGCAATTGTCATTCGTCGGGACGTCTTTGTTTATTAATTACTAACAATAGTGTTACGACACCGACTGGAATCCATTTACTTTTGTACAAGTAAGGTAATTCTAGTTATTTGATATTTAATTTATATTCCATTACTTGATGCATTGCGTTTCGCTCACGGCACAGTTAAAGAATAGCATACGACACGCGGGCGCGAGGTGATTCCCGCACTCCTCACTAAGCTCGGACGACAAACTCGACTCGTACGTAAATTACCTGTGTCGCGCCTTGTTATGTAAACTACTATTCGCGTACCACTGCCATGGAACGAGAAGACCCGGTGAATAACACCTATATTACAAGTTTCCAATACGTGCATAAATTGAAAGAGAACTAAATAGCCTTCGATCACTTGAGAAGTCTGTATGTTGTTAGATATCCAGGAAATCCGGAAAAATCAAAATCGCCTATATTACTAATTTCCAATGCGCGCTGATATTGAAGGAAACGATGCAGCCTTCGGTCGTAGGAGAGTGGTCTACGATTTCGTTAAATACCCAGGAACTCCGAAAATCCCATAAGAAAGCGTCCATTTGGCTTGAAAGTGCTAATATTTTATTGTGTTATTCCGCCTATTTTGATTTTGCGCGTATCGATAGAAGTCTCATACACAGCGCTTTACTGCTTTCGACACAAGGGCTCAAGGAAGAAACATTATTTTTTATTCACGTATTCCGTTATGGAACAAAAACGTTTTGATATTATTCGTGTGTTGTATTTTGTTCCCGCATATACTATTCTATGTTGTTGCATTATTTGAGAACAATACTTTGGTTACTTTTTTAAATTTATTGAAGTGTTATACAAGATCATTTTATCTGTTGTCCTTAAGCAGTGTGCGTGCTACTTTTTGGAAACTAAATTTTGAGTGTTTTATTCAGCAGCATTTCTGCTGCTGCAGACCTCTAGTTCAAATTGCAGACAGAAAAGACGTAAGATAAATTGAAAAGAAAATCTAAATGAAACAACAGCAAAATAATAAGCTGGTACGTGTTGTACTAGGGTGCTGTTGACCAGACGGCAGACAAACCAGTGTGTAGTTACGGCACCATGTTAATTCTCCAAAATTTCGTTCGCAAAGTAGTTGAGTAATTGAGGCCTTGCAAAGCTAAATGAGCTAAGAACCAAAAATGTAGGTTTTGGAAAATCAATGAAAACTGTATGAGTTCATATTGTTGACATACAACTAGAGCCATCACTAGGTAGATTTACACCTGTTTGGAAGGGGTTTGAAACTTGGCTCTTTTAAATTGGCACCGATTTATTTAATATTTAGATGTCAAAATCTTCGTTTCGAACATTTTGGCACTGAGCTCCTTTGGTTTTGCAAAGCCTAACTTATCTGTGGGAACCACCATTATACGAAACAGGCTACAACAGAGGTAAACAAATATTGATACTTCAATAAATTACCTTGATCGACGGCGGTCAGTTATTTTTCTGGCCAACTACCAACTTTCGAACCACGATATTTACACGTGTTTCACTAACTGGCTTGGTAGCGTGCATTCAACTGAGTCTCAATGCAATTGCATGGGTGGATTGTCGTTGGGTACCATTTGCAGTTTCTCTTAGTACACTAGATGAACCATTCGCCGCTCATCCATATACCCAGGACGTTGTCCTGGCGGAGGGCGTGGCTAGGGGTGGATTAACGCATAAGCAGAGCAAGCACATGCTTAACGTCCTCACTAGATGGGGGCTCCCAACGATTAAACCAAAATTTTAGTTAATCCTAAAATGTAAAAATAACTTTTAATTCTTTTATTTATGATTGAACTTACCAATTGTACGAGCATTTAAGTAAATTCAGTGCAGATATTGAACATTAAGTAACAACTTCTTTAAAGGTACCCTTTAAAAATGTTTTTATTTGAAAATACTTGTATTTATATTACTTTGTTCTTTCATTTTTAAATTGGAATGGTTGTAATTCACTTATTTTATTAACATATTGTGTATTTAATATTTCATTTTACTTGGGGCGTCCCATAGTTTCGTCAGAGTAGGGCCTCTTCAGATGTTAATCCGGTCAGGGAATGCCCCTCCGTCAACGATAACTTTACGCATCACACATGCAGGATAATCTCCTCATCCTGGCTCTTGTATTGCGCGAGCGGACGTCTGTGAACAGTAGATTCTGCATAAAGCGAATACGTATGTCGCCGAATGAACATGTGTCGAAACATCCTTAATCTGAAATCAGCGCCTCTCCCAGTCTTTAGGAATGAATTGTGGAGTGAAGCACTGGAGGTGCCCGTCTGTTCCTGCCCCAGGAAGGTATGCAGGTTAATTATGAGCCTTGTACTGCTGCTCGCTTACCACGCCTAAAAGCTTTTGCTTGTTTTAATCCGCTGTTAGTTTTCTTGCTTAATTTTAACACTGTAGTGTTAAAAATTACAACGATACATACTCAGTATCACGAGTAAACTTGACCTTAAATGTTACTCCCCAACTCCTTTGTTTTTCTTAGAGGTGAAAATTTCACATTCGGCAGAGTATTTGTACCTCCGATTTTGACTCCAAAGCGAGCGACTTTTGAACATATTTCGCTCGAAATATTTTTGTACCGTAAGCAAAGATCACATCATCTCTGCTGTGCGGGACTGAAATTCGCGTGGGCCGACATTCAGGTGAAGGTGAGTTGCAATGCCAATTTACACGCCTCTAACGCTTCACACACACGTGAACGAATATTCGTGAAATCGTTTAATACCCTTTAGTAAGTGCCATCTATTCAGCAAAGTCCACTACGTTTAGCGCAAGTATTAATATTTGAATAATTTACGCTTTTCTTATTAGTGTCACGGCGTTTTTATGATCGTACATGACGGTGTAGAAGTAGAAACCAAGAAGCTGGAGGTGGTGGAAATGCCAAGGAAATTTCATGAGAAGCGAATATTCGTTTACTTCTCTCGCGAACGCAAGAGAAGATAGGGATGTTGCGATCAATTATCCGATACGATACAGAGACCTGTTTGTGTAGCGTGTACCACTTTGGAGTCTGTGGGCATGCGCAAAGACTCGAAAGTGTATATGCTAAGGTGCTTGACGCTGTGCAAAAGGTGTTTGTTGATACCAACATGGATTGGTGAGATATAATACAATCACTTGCACTTATTTAACACGTTTGCGAATATTTTTAACAAATTAAATGTGTTAAAGCTGCAGAATTTTTCGGACACCAAATGTTACAAATACTACCAAAAATCTAAACTTTTCGAAACTAATTCCAAAGTTTTGGTATTAATGTCTCATTTTTGATATACCAGTATCGATTCCGATACCACTGCTGCATCACACAAAGGTATCGGTATCGAACCCGGTAATACTATCGCAACTTGAAGTATCGGAGCGTTCGCAACGGCCCTGCGCGGGGAGCGAGCGTGCGAGCCACGGCGCGGCGCGTGCGGCGCAGGCTGGCGCTGCTGTGGTACCACACCATCGTGCGGCCCTTCTTCGCGCTGGACGGCGCCAACGTGCGCGCGGGCGTGGAGGCCGCGCAGGAGCTGATCGCTGAGGCGCAGGCGGACTTCGGCCAGTCGGCGCTCTTCCTCTTCTTCCGCGGGCGCGTCGAGCGCCTCAGGGTGAGTGGGCTCGCGCGTCCCGCCGGCATTGCACATTGCACCTTGCACCTTGCACCTTGCACCTTGCACCTAGCGCCTCGCTCGTCGCCTCGACGATTCGCTCCACAAGTCGATGCGATGCGATGCGATTCGATGCGATTCGACGCGATTCGACAGCGCCTCGCTCGTCGCCATGACGCTTCGCTCCGCAAGTCAATGCGATGCGATGCGATGCGATGCGATGCGATGCGATTCGACGCGATTCGATGGCGCCTCGCTCGTCGCCAGGACGCTTCAATCCGCAAGTCGATGCGATGCGACGCAACGCGACGCGACGCGACGCGACGCGACGCGACGCGACGCGACGCGACGCGACGCGACGCGACGCGTTGCGTTGCGTTGCGTTGCGTTGCGTTGCGTTGCGTTGCGTTGCGTTGCGTTGCGTTGCGTTGCGTTGCGATGCGATGCGATGCGATTCGTTAGCGCCTCGCTCGTCGCCTCGAGCGATGCAGTGAAGAGATGCAATGAGACTCGATGCCACGTGATGTGAAGCGATTCGATGAGATGCGATGCAATGCGATCCGATTCGATGCGAAGCGATGCAATGTGACGCGATGCAATGTGTCTCGATGCAACGTGATGTGATATGCAATGCGACGTGAGGCGATGCTATTTCATGCGACACAATGCGACTAGATGCGTCGATAAGTCATGCAATATCACGCGACGTGATGCGGAAAGATGCGACGCCATGCGATGCAACGTGATGCTGCCAGACGTGCCGAAACGCGAACAGACGCGACACCGTCCTGCTATGCCTTGGCCACTTTGCAGCGGTTTAATCCCGCATCCCGATCTCTCCTTTTAAACCCTGATCTTCCAGATTAAGATGCTAATTCTCTGGATGTTTATGAAATAGTTGAATAAACATTTTGAACCTTTCAGAATTCGCTTGGTATTTGTTTCCTGTTTGAAGTAATTCATAAAATTCCTACTTTGAAATACCCGAACATAACATTCGAAAATTTGTACTAAACATGAACTTCACCATTGACTTCACTAAACGAATTTCACGAAAAGCGAACTTTTTTTTTCTGTTTATTTTTTGTCGCATCAATGACTAAGGTTATTAGCGACAACATTTTTAATACAGGTGTTTACAGACACTTATGACTTCTCTGTCATTACATAACAAAGTATCAGAATGTATGGTCATAACATAATAGTATCACATATTACTTATCTTACATACCATCATCATACAGAACAATCAGGGATGGTCATAACATCTTTTCGAGGGTTACACAACATTACATTAAGCATAAATAACATAATAACATAACATAATATAACATATAAGTATAACATATTGTTATCTTACATACTTGTAACACATTCATACAATATCATCGGGGTAGGATCATAACACATAAACTCTAGAGATACGGGCGGGCTTACCATAACGTTATATTTCAAGCATGACATTTGTGTTTTGCAAATTTGACAATCTGGTCTGAAGGGAACAGAGTACGGATTTTCTCCATTTCATGTGATTAAAATACATAGTTCTAATGTGATCATATTTACGACAGGACATAAATGAAATGTTCGATTGATAGTATACTTGGCACCATATCACATAGTGGTGTGTAGGTATTCTCCAGCAAGTACCTGTGTGTAATTTTAGAATGACCATTCTGATTCGTGTAATTAAAACTTGTTCCCGTCTAGTCATCTTGGGTCGATTGTAGTGATAAGAATAAATCGATTGATTTATGGGTTACTAGACTTATGACACCGCCATATTGTTCCATTGCTGGACATCTTCCTATTGTACGAATCTTATGACATTTTGTTGTGTATCAGCGGTTAGGTCTTACATTCTTTCCTTGGAGATCAATATTATCTTTGTGTTAGTTTCATTGTTATGTATTTCGTCATAATAATTGGATACAGCTGATTAGGTAAAAGAAGAAAAAATTACTGATAAGCCTTAAGTTTAATCAAATGAAGGAGTTCTTTAATGCGAGCCGTCGGTTTTGGATTGTGTTTCACATATATTTTGAAGATATCTTTAGGAATTTTATTAGTGATGATAGTGGCATCGGTACAGTTATGGGTTATCTTTTTAAGCGCTTCCAGAATTGCATGGTTGAACATGTTTTCCTGACTAGCAATGTTCATAACCGGATTTCACCAAAGATTTGGATCCTTCACAATGGCCTCAGAAATGATGTATTATTGCGTCCGTCAATGAAGATATTGTAGTTATTTTTGTATTTTATCATACGCTTCGCAGTATTTGGTTTCCTCGTCTAAGTCAAGGTAGTTCTGCTGAACTTCAACCAGGGATTTATCGACTTCAATGATGTTGACGTCCAGGGATGTACAGTGGGATCTTTTGACTTTCTATAGGAAGCCTCGAAATGTTGAGGGAGCTGAATAGCGTAGCTACTTTATTATAGAAAGGTGTAGAACACTGTGGATTTCCACTTCTAATTCCAGGAAGATACATCATTACGTATTATCTTATTTAAGGATGTTTTGCTTTAATTGGTATTTGATTGACAAGGTTTGTCTTCGAAATGTGAGGTTAGTTTCAGCCGCTTCGATGAGAATACTACCAATTGGACTTGTGTGAAAGCAACCAGTGCTTATTCTGAGTCCGCAATTGTGCAGTGTGTCCAGTTTCTTGAGAGTTGAGTTGCACGCTGAATTATATACAATAAGATCCGTAATCTATCTTACTTCTTATTAAGGCTTTATATGTAAGTAGTAAGGTATTTTTGTCTGATCCCAGTTGTTTGTGATTTAGACACTTCAGAGGTTAAGTCGATTTTGCATTTCTGCATATGTTTTAGAGATATGTTCTTGGCCATGTGAGCCTTTGGTCAAATATAAGTCCCAAGATTTTTGTATGTGTGACAGTCTTAAGACTTTGTTGCCCAGGAATAGTTTCGGGTGAACGGGCTTAATTTTTTAGAAAAAATTATACATTCAGATTTGTCAGTCGAGAATTTGAAACCGGTTTTCATTGACCATTTGTAAATACAGTTTACAGCATTTGCATTAATTCATTGGTTGAATCGAAGTTCCTTCCTTTGCATAGTAACACCATATTCATCGGCGTATTTCCGCACGACAACTGGCTTACAATATCACATCAGCATCATTTATGGCGATTAAAAATAGAGTCACACTGACACTGATCCTTGCGCGTAGCCCATTATTAAGTTTCTTAATTGTTGATTAAAATTATTACCTATACGTACTTGAATACATCTGTTGCTAATAAAGTTTGGTAAGCGAACTTAAACATATGCCCTGATACCAATACTAAGTAATTTAGCAGCTATGCGGTGTGTTCCATAACCATATCGTATGCTTTTTCGATGTCTAGATTTACTAAGATAACATGCTGTCCTTGAAGAAAAGCTTCTTGGATTATCGTTGTCGTACTGATAGATGTGAGGTGTGGAGTGTCCAGTTCTGAATCCAAATTGGTTGTCTTTATTAAATATTGAGATTCAAGAACCACCTTATTCTTTTGTTAACGATTTTTCTAATATTTTTGCATAGGTTGCAGGTCAGTGAGATCCGTCGTAATTATAGCTATTTGACTGTCTTGCCAGGTTTGGGAATTGGTATGACTGTGCAGTCTTCCAGAGTTCAGGAAAAACATTATTTAGCCATATATGGTTGTATATTTTTAATAAATGTAATACTCTTTTTGGGAGATTTTTTATTAGGCAGTTTGGAATTTTGTCTGGGCCAGGAGCTGAGTTGTTGATCTTCTTTAAAACTTGTTGTAGTTCGTGCATGAAAATTGGAGAATTCATGTCATTATCATAGATGCTGTCATCAATAGGTGTCATATTTGTGTTCACTTTCTGCTTGTTCTTTATAAGTGAATAAATTCCGTATGTAATTGGAAGTGCTGGAATTTTTCATGAAAGTTTCGGCAAATTCCTCAGCCATAATGTTGGTCTCTAATTATCTGTCATTGCAACGCAAGAAAATGTATAGTACTATTAGTCTTTCATACCACGTATGGATTTGATTTTTTTCCAGCTCTCTGTTGAGGTTCGAGCAGTTTATTGAGGAATATATTCAGTCCATGATCTAGCTTTGTTATATTTTACAGTTCTGCGGGCATAGCTCAGTTCTCTTATAGTTGATTCGGCTATCATTATCTCTTCTTTTTTTATACCGGTTAAATGCGAAAAGCGAACTTGTATTCGAATTATACAAAACCATCGCGTAAAAATGATGTATTTTGATATATTTTGAATATTGTATACTTCTTTTTTGTGTAATTAAAACATTCTAAATCGAAAAATATTTACATTTTTCGTTTTAAAAAATATTTTGGAGAAAGCTCTTTGTAGGCGAAACCCTAGCGACCTTCCTCTCCTTCAGCGACGTCACTGCCTTCATGGTGGGCATAGCTCACAAGCAGGACTGGCGCATAAAAGACGCGGCGTTTAGGGAAAGCGGAAATTAAAACGTTCAGGGAAAACGAAGAAACTTACAGAATTTCATGAACTTCTGTAATGGGGGGTTCGAAAAACTTCCAGATTCTGCAGCGTCCTTTGCAGCTGGCGAGAAATGGGGAGAGAATACATCTCGACTTTCAGACAACGGTGATCCGATCACGGGGGAAGGGGGCTGGGGCAGTTTCCTTTTGTATTATGAAGGTCTTTTCAACATTCGGGAAATAAGAAATCTGTATAGTCACTACTCCTCCTCTACTGACACATCTTTTGAAATACAATCCCGTTCAGTAGATTAGCTCATCTGACCATCTTTTGCAAGTGTCGTACGTTAGATTATTTATTTACAATTTGCGTTACTACGTTCGTCAGTTGTGATTTAAGTACTTCACGTCACCGTGGCCGCCTCAGCGTGCCTCAACCTCGCCTCTTCTATTCACCAAGATTTTTGATAAGAAATTTCCACAAATCAGCCTACGTTCGTAGTAACAAGCTACGTATCGTTCTCTACCACTCAGATACCGCCTT